AAATATGAACTCTTAATTTCCCTGAAGCTAAAGATGTAAATTGTGCTGCCCTTCCTAAAATTCAGATATCAGTATGTATTAGCCCAAAGCCTGAAATTAGTCTGAATGGCACACGTGTTTCTGCTCAGGTATATACAGCTGGTTTGTCAGAGATACTCCTCAGTTCCAGTCAAGCCAGTGGGCCAATGCATGCAAGGGTGGGATTTGGCCTTCTGGAAAAGGAGCCACAGATGACACTGGTAGACATGAGGAAAAAATGAGAGAAAGCAGATGGCTCCCATTTATCCACTGCATTTTTGCTGAGACTTGAAAGAAGTTTTGCTGTTGCATAGGCAAGTTTTTTCCCCAGATAAATACAATTTCTCAGGGAAAGTATTCGGCCATCAGGGTTATCTAAACTGACCAATCCCATATGCACAAGAAATGTGAAATCTGGGGTTTGTTGATATTTCACAGCACAGACTGAATTTACTTTCTCAAATTAAGATTGGTTTCTTAAGCTTTCTAATATTCCTTACACTCCATTTCAGATTATTTGCTTTCATGAAGAACACCTGTGACTATTTTTTTAAAAGATGTTCCCTTGGATAGAAGTACAGCTATTGAGAGCTCTTTTGACTCACTCTAAGGTGAAAATGACCTCTGCTGGTAGAAATTTGCACATCTGTTCAATTAACCAAGTATCATTCAGGCCTTTTCATAAATATGTGTGTTCAAATGCTCTTGCCCTGCTTTTTCAGTCTATTTTATTGCAGTGCTCTTCTAAGAGGAACTGGAATATTTCAGAGATGCTGTGAGTGATCAGATTGTTAGTTGTCTTCAGTGCTAAGAAGATATAGGCCCAGTAAATGTTAGAGCAGGTATCAGAAAAGCTGAGTTACTAAAGAAAAGACAGAGGGAACCAAAAATATGTACTCCTATATAGAGTATTCTGACCATGTCACCAACCTTGTAGCATTGTCTCCTTTAAGATTATGAATGGATTTATTGTAATGATAAAATTAATTCAAGTAAGTGACAGTAGAATCATTTTACTCTTTTCTGTACAGAAGATGGGTTTGGTTTGATCATCATTCTGCACTTATTAAGACCCTGTCTTTCTAGTCTTTCTACAGAAACCAAAAAATGTGTCACTTCAGTTATATTTGTAAAACATCATTTTTCTACCCATTTGGGATTGTAAAAGGGACTCGTTGAATGAAAAACAATCAGTTTTGCATAGGAAGTGGTATTATTCCATACTCCAGCATAGAGAAAAAGGAAAAAATGACCAAATAGATTTCCTGAATAATGTTAGCTTTGAAAATGTTGCCTAAGATCACAGTACCATTTTCCAGTCACCAGCTTACCATCCTGTATACCAGTGCTGTCTCAATTGGTTTCATGTATAAGTTTTATTGTTTTATTTTTTAAAACTCCATTCTTTTCTGGTTGCTGAGCAAAGTTTCTAAGTTGGAACACAGTACCAGAGTGGGAAAATGGGTTGTGAAAGCAACAAAATGTCTTTCTAAGTGTACTTGTTTAAAGACAATCTAGAAAAACCAAAGAAAACAACAACAAAACAAACAACCTTTATATTAAAATTAAAAAGTAAGTAAATGAAATTTTCATTCTCGTACGAATCTCAGTTCCAACATATTTTTCACTGGGGAAAAAAGTTCTTCAGAAATTTTCCTATCATCTGTCTCCAGGGAATGCATTGTTCATATGCTCTTTCCCAAAAGAGTTCCCAAATTGTCTTCAGTACTCTGACTTGGAGTATCTCATGTGAGAAAAAGGGTTCAAAAAATAAAAGACAAAAGCCCGGAATGAGCCTTTTGTGTTGTAGACTGCAGGAGAGCTGATATTAGTTCTTTCCCCATCCAATTTGTTCTTTGTCATACTCCTGGCTAACTTCACAGAGAAGAGTGGAAAAATATACTTTGAGCCCTTCTGCTGTACAAGCTCATAGATGCATAGACACATACATATCTCTCCTTATTCATGACTGCTCTTTTGAAGAATGTTGGGTTTGGTTTTTTTCTGCCTTCTATTCTAGGAATAGCTCCGAGAGAAATAGTTTCACTTCAGTGTCTAAGGTCATCAACCAAACTCTTAGATTTTATTTGTACAGAACGACTGTGGTTTTAGATTTTAGATCTCTGTTGAAGGATCTGAGTTATTTGATGTCTTTAGAAGAGATGAGGAAGGAAAATTATACACAATATTAAAGAAAAGTTGACTGGAAATCTGTGGCTGAAGGAGTCCAGCCTCAAGATAATATTTCAGTTTGTGCTTAAATTCAAGTGCAAGTCTGTCTGTATCAGCAAAACTGGGGATGCCATCCTTAATTCTAAATACACACTTTGCTGCTTCATATCCTGAACTTTGAAATCAGTTGAAGGAGTACAGGAGTAGTACTGACATGAAAAGGAAAGTTCAGCCATGAGTATGTTTGCACAAATCCGCTCATTCTACAGAGCACATAAACTCAGATTTGTTGGTGCAATCCCATGTCCTTTGCAGTGGGAGAGATTGAATCCCCTTTGCAATGAATGAATAACTAATTAAGAACCAGCCTTTGGAATAATCCTCTCTTCTGGCTCATATGAAGCTAATGCCATCCGTTTGTCCTGGATGGAGCGTCACAACCAAATACACCTCCCTTCCAGCCCCAGCCAAGGCTTTCTTTATAAGAAGTGAAAGAATATACATGGAGAAACGAATGTGAATGTGGTGTTGTTTCCCACAGGAAGCAGAACATTTGTTTGAAAATCCAAAGAGAAGTTTACAGCTGCTTGGCAAAAATCCTGATTTCACTATCAGAATTTTTTTTACCACTTTTTGCTGACAGAAAGAAGTGTCTTTTGTCAGGACATGACTGTCCTCAAAGTAGTCTGAGATAAAGCAGGAAGAAGGCAAAGGAATTAGACATAGAGCTGGTTAGAACATTTTTTTAGTGTTTTCCTCATTAAAAATGTTGGTCTGCCCAAACAAGAACATTTTATAGAAATAGTTCATCTTGATCAACTTGACACGAAGCCCTTTAAGACAGCCTTTCTTCTGGACTAATACAAGATGTCCAATTTGGGCATATTTGGGCATATTATCATGATGTTTTTGTCTTTTCCACTCCAAATGGACATTTTTACAAAAAAAAATGAGTTTATTAAAATACATATTTTTCAAATATAAATGACAGTAATTAAAATTAGTTGCTTTGGTATTACTAAAATAGAAATATTTAATTGGTTTGAAAGAGTTCGGAAAACTTCAGTTGGATTTTTTCGAGTGGGGAATGGAAAAGTTTTAATAAGACTTTAGGAAATATGAGAAATTTAGGAAAAATAATCAAAGGCTTTAATATATATTGAAAGTTTGGTTTCTACAGAGAAAACTGACAATGCCATTTGACTCATTGGGGTACATACAGAAGATTGTCTTTGAAAACCAGTTTCTGAGTCCTTTGAAAAACCATCACAGAAGGAATTTTTAGTATATTCTCTAAATTATTCTCATGGTAATGATAAAATGCTACATCTTCTCTGTGGCAAAAACATTAGGGTACAGTGTATGACTTAATTAAAAAGCTCTGGAGGAAAAAAAGTAACACTGGCTTATTGCTATCAGCCTCTTTAATTTGTTCTCTGTTTTGTACAGCGGTGCATGGAATATTCAGAAAATAATGGTAAAACAGGTGCAGATAAATTACTAATCCAGACTGGCAATAATTTTCCTCTTAAAAAGACTGAGATTTCACTAAGAAGAGTATAATTATTTTGTGAGGGTAAGATTTCTTCCATTTTTGCACTGAATTAATTATACTGTAGCCTCCAAGGTGCTATTTATTTGGATTCCTGCATGGTTTCTAACTCCTCTCCAGGAGCTCTTGCAGAGCTCCAGGTTGGATTACTAGATTTTCCTTTGGTCTTGTTTTTTCTAGTCTTAGTATTGGTTTGATTAACCTACTTGACTGTACTGTCATGATCTGTGTGTTTCGTAGATCCCAATTGATACGAATGTTGAACTTCCGCCCTACGTGGAAGGAGAAATTATGAAGACTTTTCTGGTCAAGATTTCTGATTGAAGGGCTGTTTGATGGCACCTTTTGACTCACAAGTGCTGCCTTCTGAGTTTGCAGCATGAGTTTACTGACATGTTTCAGCCCTGTTGAGGACTCACTGAAGATAACTCTAGAGAATATACAATATTAATGAGTAAAGTGGTATACGTGCCTCAATATATGGGTATATACGTGTCAGGTTAATAGAATCCTTATTTTACAGGGTGTGCAGTGTAGAGACAAAGTCAGATTATGCTTTCCAAGTATTTAGTGGAAGTCATTGGCTGAGGAAATAAGACCTGCCCATATGGTGGTATGCTCAGTATTCACATCTCTGATGTTCTGGCAGCATGCAAAGTGGCCTTGCACTTTCAAATCTGTCCCAGGTGAAATGGCATAGCCTGTAGCAGTTGCATGTTTGGTCACACTGTGCTGCTGAAAGTGGCTTTTCAAGGTTGGATTTGTGGGTCGTCATGCTGCTTGTTTACTTTTATTCAAGTCTGATGAGAGCAGCTTTGTAAGCTTTGGCCGTGTTGTTATTTTCATTAGTTTTCAAGTGCTGAGTTTGTTTTTGCTAGCTTGCCTGTTTGTTCTAAAAGTCTTGTTTGTTCTTGGGATTGATGTTTGAGAGCACTCTGCCATTTCCAAGAGTCGTGATGGCACCAGGAATTTTTATTGCTCTGATGAACCCTATGGCTGCCACCATCCCCTGGCAATTGACTGACAATTCCACAGAGCAGGCTAGCTTCCAGGGATACCAGGACCTTAATGGGAGATGCTGTAGTCTAGCCACACTACGGCAGCTCCACTTTAGATGCTTCAGGGACCTCCTCCCAGGGTATGTCAACCCCACACAGAAAGGTTTCCCAGGGGTTTTATGTTTGCATACAACCTTGTGTGCAGCCATGTTTGCCTGTGGCATTGGCTGGGCAGCAGTGCACACAGCACGTCTCTTTGGCCCTAAAATCTGTGCCGTGTCAATGTCCTGCATCATAGCTTTAAGAAAAAAGGCAGAGATGCAAATTTTCCTGAGCATGTCTATTCTTGAAAACACTTATGTGGCACAGTGTAAAGTGTATTTTGAAAAACAGGTTTCTTTTTGGTGTGAGTGGGTGGGGATTATGATAATATCAGCTCAGGTTACGCAAATGTTTGCCCTCTCTCTATTAGCAATAAGGAAGACTGCAATGGATTGTCAGAGCGGTTGACCTGATATGGGAGAGCTTGCTGGAGAGCCTCACCTAACTGTTTTCTGGCTTCCGAGTGGGTGTTAGAGCGTGCAGTATCCATACTGGCACAGGTAAGCCCTGTTTACTTTCCTTCATTCTTTTTTAAAGCAGTGTTTGTAATGAAAGCTTCCACCAGTTAAGCTCTGCTGGCAAAAGGGTGATGCCAATGGAAGCATTTTTGGAAGACAAAATTCATTTTCTGTTATTCAGCTGTGTGCAAATGCATCTAATAGAGAGGGAGGCATAATTCTGTCTTGTAGTGGACTAGCCCACCTTTGTGGGATGTTGCCATTGCCAGTAGCTGAAGATTGAAGCTTGTGTCATTAAGTAATTAAATATACAACGTTTAATTATATTGGTATCCAAGATATTGAGCCATGTAGTTTTACTGGTCTGTATAAAGTCAGAATAAGTTATGGACTTACTGACTACACAGTTTGTTTTCTCAGACATTGAGGTAGGATTAACAATTGTTTAAATGCCATGCCTGTTTGCATAAAGGACAACAAATCTGGCCTACAACAGCTTACATATATTTAACAGTCCCATGCCTACCTGTCCATGGCATACTTTTATCAACGCAGGTAAGCAAACACTGGCCCTCAGTGTGTCCTGTGTCTGGTCACAGATAGGGAATATCAGTGTTCCTGATGGCTAGCAGCATCTGCTGTGGACAAAACCCAAATCAAGTTCTCAGTGTGCAGGTTGGTGGTTGTTTTTGTTTGTTTTTGCAGGCTCACATGTGGACCCAAAGTAGCTCTCCGATAAATTAGGAGTAATTTTGAGCAAAGCATGTCCACTTGCATACGAATGTAAAACCAGTTGAAACTTGTCCTGAAGAGAATATGCTTAAACGTTCATCAGAGCAATTTCTGTGAACATATGGTGTCTCTTGCCTGAGATGTCCTGCTTGCATCCAAGGCCAAGATTGGCCTCATCTGATTTCTTTTCTCCTCTGCTGGTGTGTACAAAGTTCTGGCTTCCCACTGAGATCAGGGAGGCAGCTTGTGGACTAACCCAATGCTATCCAAAGCTGTCTCAATATCAAGTGTGGCAGAATTGGGTATAAGTAGCTGCAACCAAGCAGAATCAGTGTCTATCATGGTAAAATGCTGCTAAGACACTAGTGAAATACATACTCATCGTATCATCAGTACAGGCTTTTTGAACAGTGTTAATCAAATAAGTAAATCTGAGCTCATGTGTAAGAGTGGAGAAAGGATACAAAAGCTGGTGAGAACCAGATCCTGGCTTGAACTGTATTGTTTTAAATATCAGTGAATGCAAAATTAGTTTGCACTGATGCTGTTCTTTGAAAAGAGCCTAGTAAGAATGACACTGCAATGGCCAATGCAGTTAGCTAGTGGTATATCCTTTATGGCTTAAAGATCCTAGTTTTATCAAGAAAAAATAAAATAAAATAATAATAAAGAAAGAAAGAAAGAACACTGTTCTAAATTCCACTTCTACAAATTTAGCCTTGTCCTTAAGAGTCAAATTATTTCTGGCTCTAACAGTGCTGAAAATAAAAATAGCAGGTCATTTAACTCTTCTGGGATATTTGTCTGCAACTCCCTTGAAACCAGTGAAAATAGAAAGATATCTACAATTTATATATTCCCCGTTTCTACATAGAATTTGCAGTCATGCTGATGTGAGGAGGAAGGGAGCATCACTCTTCCCATCCCACCAACGTGTGGTGGTTATGCAAGATTAGAGGAATTAAAACAACAACATGGGTTTGTTTTTTCATAAAATGAACTAGGTGAACTGCACACACAGAGAATTATCTATTGATCAGAGGGCTGAGCCCAAACGTATTTTCAGACATTAAAGAAAACAGTGCTTTACAGGCTTACTCATTCTGAGTGCTTATGTCATTCAAGAGATTCGCCATCCCGCCTGCCTTGCAGCATTTTTTGCTAGCCAGTGCATCCAAGCCAAGAAAATTGTTTCATAATCCTTTTTGTTGCAGAGGAAGGAAAGGAGCCTGGAGGGCAAGAAGTTGGGACTAAAAGCAAATGAAATATGACATTTTCAAAGAGGCCTACATATGGTCAGGGCTTGCACGTGCTTTATTCCGATGTGACAAGTTGTCCCATGGTTTTCCACACCTTCCCTCTTGCTGGTGCAGGGTGCCTCTGGAAGAGTACTGAGACCAGCCCATGGGGCAGGGCAGTGTGTTCTCCCAGCTCTGCACCAGGTCAGGGAGAGGTTGAGGAGTGGGCAGCATTGGTGAGCTGCAGAATGAGCTGCCACTCCAGGTACTTGCTGCTATTTGAAATCCCACCCTCTTTCACCTACTTCATGGTCTGGTGCAGAGGGAGGAGGGTTTGGATTTTAATTCCTTGTAGTGTGATCTGAAAGGTTGAGAAAAAACTGAAGCACTTGCATATTAAATCTAATGGTGCTCACAGAGGCACCGTAGGAATGAGGAATTATTTCTGCATTTAAAATTTGCCTCCCCAGCAGCACATTCCCCAGAGGGCAGACTGTGCCTTTGTGGTTAAGGTAGCATTAGGGCTTCTAGGAATGCCTGAAATAATTCTCAGGGTAGGTGAAGATGGTCTGGCAGTGCTTTTGTGTGGCCCCTGAAAGCATTCTCAGGGATGCACATTGCTGAGCTATTGTGGTACTTGAGTTTCAGCAGCATGCTGAGGTGTGGCAACTGAACACCAGGCAGGAGCACCAAAAAGCAGGAGCTAATTGTATTGGTGCAAAGCTGTTGTTTTGTGGACCCACTGGTGAACAACTAAAGGCTTGGTGGCCTTAATTAGTCCCCAGCACCCATGCAGAATGATGGCATAAGGCCAGACAGAGATCTGTCCATACTTTCCATGTCACAGGAAAGCTGCTTGCGTGCTGCTGGTGGCTGTTGGCCACTCTCCGAAGCTGGGGAATCCAGAAGATTATCCTGAGATGATATAGCTGCCCATGTCTCACCAGAGATATGCTTGGATGTCCTTTCCAGTGCTAACGGAGGAAACAGTGTTTTTGCCAAGCGTCTGATCTACTGTTCCAGTTAATCCATGTTAAGATCCTTTGGAGAGAAAACCCTCAATTCATGGATGTGGGCTCATTATTTGGGATCCAGTTGTGTTTTCTTTTACATAGACCAGTGGCAATTTGGCCATTTCTATCCATAAAAACAGGGTCATACTGTTTGTATTCCATGTCAGTTGAAATAAAAATGATGTGTGACTATATATCTGCCAGAGCTTAAAGCAATAAAAAAGAATTACTGACGTTCTAGCAATCTAATAGACAAACAATCATCTGCAATTTGTTTTAGGGAAATGAGACAATTTCCCTTTTTGCTATTAACTGTGCTGTACTGGTTCCCACTAGGTCTGTTCAGGGGACTGTTCATCTTGCTCATGTAACTGGATTTGGTATAAAATTAAGGTACTTCATGTAGTACTTCTGCAGAATGAAGAGGACTCTCAGTTAGATCAAAATTGTTGTATAAAAGCCCAGCAATTGGGTGACCTAACCAGTTTCTATTTCATTCCAGTATTTGCGAAAATCACTTAGTGATTCATCTCTCATTTCCCGTGGGAAAAAGCTGGAAAGCCAACTGATTGCCACACCTATCTGTTAGCTATTTCATGCTAGGTAGCACAAGAAACACCATTCATTCTGTAGGTGTGTGTGATTCTGCTTCATCCTGATCTGAAAAGCAGCATCCCCTTCCCTTGTTTTCATGGCATCAAGCACAGGCCCAAAGCTGTGGTTGTTTTCCTTGTGATCACTCACGTGGAAGAACCAGAGACATTCTGTGGTCAGAATATCAAATTCGGTGTCCTTCATCATGCCTGGTTGTTTGCAATGCAAATGGAAGGCTTTGTCTCACATAGTACCATATCCATGGTAACCAAATGAAGACAAGTTTGCATTACTTCCTTAGTAAAGTGCAATCCTTCCCTTGGCACATGTGCCAATGAGGCATAGAGAGTTAAAGGGACAGCAATATATTTCTTGGAAATGGAAGCAATCAAAACAACTTCTGGCTTTTTTTTTTTCCCCCCTTTATTTCAGTTATCACTGTCCTTGCTCTTCTACCCTTGCTTTCCCATCCTGTCATTTTCTAGAATTCCTGTTGCTAAAAACTAGACTAGTCCTGATTTCTGCTTTCCCTTTGCCCAGAGGCTAAGCAAACAGTCATCTATCCAAACTGTCAACTTAAACACCGCTTTCTTGGCAATCAGCCTCCCTTTGCCCTTCCTAGTATCTTAAAATAAATAAATAAGTACATAAAGGAGGTGGAAAGCCAAGCCAAGAGCACCAATTTGTGTCCTCGGTTTTTCAGACCTTGGGTTCGTGGCAGAGCAGAGACACAGAAGCACCAGCCTGCAACTATTCCATAATACTAACAGCTGGATCAAGCTATACAGGTTGGAGCTTATCAGTTTTTTTGTTGTTGTCATACCCGTTAAAAAATTTAAAGTCTCTTTTTCCCCTCTTCTGATCTGTCAGATATGTGGGAGAAATACATTTATATTTTATTTGCTGGTTTAAATTCCAGTTAAAAGAGCTTGAGGTAAAGGGCTTTGATATTTTCAAAGCCTCACAGACTGTCTCTTTTGACCAGCCAGGAAACATTTTTAGCAAAGGGACCAGATTCAAGCTGAGTGTACTGCAAAATTGTTGCTATTGTTACTGCTTTCACTGTTGTTGTTGTTTTGCTGCCTTGCCTGTGACAACCTGTGCACTGATTTTATGTACTTTCCCTTATGTAGCTGGGAGGCTCAAAATACAGCTCGCTCCCTGTTCAGTTCTACATTGTTTTAAGCAGAAATAGTTCTGGCTTATGATAATGCTTGTTATTTAGCATTATCTGTTGTTTTTCGTCTCAATCAAGAGTGAGCTTACATTGTGATTAAAATGCAACATGATGATAAAATTGACATCCAGTGCAGGTATTCACGATGAGCAACACTGATAGTACCAGCACTTCTACTTTGAAAGGAGCAGAGCAAGTTTCAGTTGTGGCCTCTGAGCAGGAATTTTACCAAAAGCTTCACAGAGACAGAAATGTACCCAAATTTGTATTTACCAACGTAGGAGGGGGCTTGAAGTGTTATTACAGCTTTCCCTAGCTGGAGCACTTTCAAAAAAGATTAATTCTCTGGAGTCAGTTCATTTAAGGGTATTTTACGTATGAGTTCTCACATGGGTGTTCCAGGGGTACTTTGAATACCAGTGTGTCCTTCCTTGCTTTCAATGCAAATGACAGGCATGTTGAAGAGATAAAACAAATGACTGTCTTCCTGCACCAACTAGGATTTTGCTGCAGTTAACAGCTCACAGGTTAATGGGCAGAGAAAAGGGGACCTCAACTTCATTTAGCTCCCCAAGGTCAGGGCTCAAGTTTGATGCTGAAAATACTTTTGTCATCTTCATTTATTTCTGAGTAAAACATAGGGAAGATGAGAGCCTTCAGTCTTCAAGCAGTGATTTGTCCCCAAAAATGGCAACTGAAAGTAGTAATACTGCAGATCAGATGTTATCCTGTTCCTGCCTGAGAGCACTGCAACAACCTCATTTCTCTTCTTGTTTACTGAAGCAGAGATGGGCAGATAGATAACATAAGCTTTATTTTTCTTCTCAGTAGAGCTGCCATAAAAAGTATAGCTGAGCCTGATTGCCAAACACATCTATATCATATAAAAGATTGGGACAGTAGTAAAAGTGATCTCTGTTGTTTGTCTTGCCTTGCCTTGCCTTGCCCAGCATTGTCTTGCCCTGCCCTGCCTTGTCTTGCCCTGTCTTGCCTTGAAAGGAAACTGTAAATATTAATTCATATAATCAATAATACAGACACTTCACATCCTAGATGTGGAAAAAGCCTTCTTTATTTTTCTGTACATTTTGTGTGGCAAAAGCTTACTTACTGTTAAGCTGCCAAGCCCAAAAAGCTTGTAAGTATGCTCAAATAATTTTCTGAACAGACATGGAATGTCTTGGACACTTGAAGACATTCTTAACTAAAGTATTTGAGATTTTCTGCTTCCTCTCAATTCATGTCCCTGTAACTACATGTTTAGTTGCCTATTTGTCAGTATTAAAGTTAACCATTGGCTCTCTACTCAAGAATTGATGCACCTGCACATGGATCTGTTTGCATTCATAACCATCTAAAGAAAGTGGATAAATATTAAAATAGTATGAGTAGTCACTCAGCAAGTGGAAAAGGAAAAAGAAATATTAATAGCACTATCCAGTACATGTCATACAGTGTGAGGAATATGGTGTGAAGCTGATGAAGTTCAAGATCCTGTTTCAGTGAAACAAACACACTTTACCGTGGCTGGTGGCAAGGAGAATGGTTCTGTTAAATTCTGGCAATCGAAGTGAGACAAATCTGTCTGGGAACCTGCCATAAACTGTTTATGTGTTTTTCAGTTTTTAGAAGCTTTTTATTTCATACGTTCTGTGGTTAAGAGCTGATATAAATTGCTCGCTGATGCAGATTCCTCAGTTTCTACCTTGAAATCTCGTTGTAGAGGAGGGGAAAAAGGGGGGAAAAAAAAAAGATTTCCAAGATGTTCTCAGTGTGTTATCAAATGAACAAAACACACAGGACATGGAAACCAGCCAGTCATTCATTCCATCGACAGATTTGCAGAGCTAAATTTGCTTCTGGAGAGCAGTTAGAAATTAAAACACACAGATGATGAGTGGTACTGGCACCCAAACTGTGATCAAGAGGACACTCTTGTCTGAAAAGATGTACCCTATCAGATTAATCATTATGTGTTAATTAATTTGAAATCAAAAGGATGTCTTCTTCTGTCTATGCACAGGAAATTAATGGTGATAACACTAATTAAATGTAATGGAAGTTACCTCTGTACTTCCCACATCTGGGGCCAAACTCTTTATTGTCTCTCATGTTGTGTCATTTACAGTTGAATCCCATTGTAGCATCTTACTCTCGTTGTGTCCTGCTGTAAATGGCTGTGCAAGTCATCAGGCAATGGAGAATCAGGCCAATGGATTACTCAGCTGGGAAATGAACTAATTTCAATTAAACTAGCTCTAAACTTTGACTTCTAGCCCTGGGAAGGTGTGTTGCTGCATCTCCTCTTCTGTGAGGCATACTAACATAAATAAATGGTTCTTCTGCTTCATTATTTCCCCTGTAGTCTACAAAAGCAGTACTGTCTTTTCTGTGCAATCCTTCTGCTGTCCTGGCGTTTCCCTGGCAGCCTCTCTGGCAGGTGGGAAGCTCCATTTCCTGTGGAGGAGCCTGAGGTGCCCAAAAGATATTGAGGGAATTTCATTTTTTCCTGCTGCAGGTACTGATTTGGTACGGGGGTACAGGGTATATGATGACTTCTCTGAACCATTTCCTGAGGCAGGGCAAGGCTTCCTCTTAACATAGTTGACTTGGGTGATGGAGAGGCTTGTTTGCATAAGGCTTGTCTGATCCAGGAGAAATAAAAAAATCTTCCTTTGCTCAATTTGAATATTTTTACCTATTTACCTTTGCTCTAAATAAAAGCAGCTGTCTCTCTCTGGGGGGAATGATTTGTTATCTTTGACCAAAGATACAGAACAGGACCAGCTGTCATCAGCTGTCAGGGTACAAGATTTCCTGCTCTGTCCTCCCTGTTCTCCTTCCTGAAGCTCAGTTTTTCCTCACTCGTTTAGCTGCAATGCACCAATGGAAAGGAATCTGGGACACTATGAGTGGGATGGACTCTAGACTTTCTCTGCCACAGGGCCAAAGGAGTGCTGAACACAGCTGATGCTGTATATCCCATCCTCTGTTAACTTGTTCTTTCAGTGTTTTATTAAGAGTTTTTATTAGTCTTCATTAGCCTCCAGGTTTCCTGAAAAATAACAACAAAAAAATAAATCAGTGATTGTATCAACTCTGTTATGCAATGGCAACTTGCTAATTGCAACTCAAAATCTATTTCAAAGACTTAAAAGCATCAGGTACTTAAATTGATTCTTGGAATGATACTAGAGGTTGTGGTTTGCCTTGTTTCTCTTCACTAGAACAAATTGGTGTATTTTGCAAAATTTCATTTATCTCCCCCAGCATTTCATCTTTGTTCTACTGTTCTTGTATTTGGGTTATCGTGCAGCTTGTTAAAGTACATCACACCAGGGATTGTCTCACTAGCTAACTCAAAGCCATGTGTTTAGACTAGGGCCAGGCTGCTGCTTTGGTCCATGAAGAAAAGCACCTCCAAAGAGCAGCTGCAGTAGGAGGATTGCTGTACAAGTGTCCTACTCTTTGCATTGACTATAAGGGGAGCATAAAATATAGGTTTGTAGAAAACATACTGGTTTACTGGAGATTTTGGACTTCAGTGCACCAGAAATGAGCTTTCAGTGTCATAGCTAGGCAAAGATTGACAATCTTAAAATAACACTCTTGCTTTGTAGGGTTAACAACAACAACAGAAACAACAGAGATCCTGCAAACCCATATAGTCTTTATTCTAAATGTCAAAATTAAATCTCTAAAGACTTGAGTCCAAAGACCTCTGATGGATGCTGCAGCCTTTCTGTGTCTTTTGACTGCAAATCAGAATAGCACCACTGAATCCAGGTAGCAATAGTGTGACAAGAACGCCTCCTGGTTTGTCTTTTGTGTGCATGAGCCCTGCTGCTGATCAGCAATTGCCCCTTCCTGTTCTGCCTCTGAGAGCTGGTGATCTCCGTGGCTTCGGTTGAACCTGAAGGGAAAGAAGCCTGTTTGTAGTATTTTCAGAGCAGAGCTGAATACTTCTGAGCCATCTTTACTTACCTTTGGGTTGAAAAACTGAACTGAGCAGCAGGACGCTTGGGACCCATTGCTTGCTGTGCTGCAGGCTTCCTGCGTGGCCTTGGGCAAATAAGGTGAATCACTTGTGCTGCAGTCCCCTGTTTGGTAAAAGGGAAGCAGCGATCCTCCCTCAGCACAAGAGCAGGCTCTCTGCCCCTTTCAAGCTATGGCAGGAACTGCCTCAGGATGCATCCATGCAGAATCAGAATAGCTAGTTTTTCATTCTCAGTGGGACTGGTAGGTGTTTCCAAATTATGGATGGCTGGCAGATAATAAAGTCAAGTGAATGATTCCAGATTTTTCTTTGCTTTCCAAATTGGATTGAAAAAAAACAAAGCTTGGATTACCAGATGAAATCACTAACCCCTTCTCCCAGTATTTTTGATATATTCTGGAGTTACCAAAAAGTTATGCAACTCAGTGTGGTGATTTATTGCTATAAGCTGATCCTGTAATACTTCATTTGAGTGCTCTCCTTCCATTTTTACACTTAGAAGACTCTACAGAAGAAAATATTCATCTGCAGTTGAATTCTTGTTCTTTGTAATTTTTGCTTGTGCTACTCCTTAATTATTTGCTGCCTCAGTTCTCCAGTGGGAAATATGATGTCTCCAATATTGACACTTCCTTTAGGAAAGTTGTGACTCCCTGAAAATTCAGAACAAAATATTTTGCTTTGTCTGATTTCAACGAAAGAAAGAGCTTTCTATTTTGTTGAGCTGCATCAAAACACAAATATTCAGTATTAACTGACATGCCTTGCTTATGATCCACTGTCTCATGAGAACAGTGCCAGGGATAACATTTTCCATCATGTGTCTGGATAGCTTTCTGATCAAATTATCTGGTACATCATGGGAATTTCATGATGCTGCATCCTCTAGTGAGATGTAGCCTACCACACGAGCACAATTTATGGCAGAAACCATGGTTATACACACCTGAAGCAATGAGCTATCACAGAGAGATGCAGTTTAATCTTGAATATAGTCAAACATGCATGTACTTTGCTTCCAAAATTTTGCTATTTCAACTTTTTGTCCCTGAAGGACCAGTATTCTCCATGAACTCTTCAGTGTGATGCCATGCATTCACTGCCAATGCAGCTCAAGTCTGTTTGTTTGGTGGTGAGGAGAAGCTAAAAAAAAAGAATTGTTTGGAGGTATGGTGAGGTTTGGATTGCAGGATAGGTATTATAATTAATGATTACCAAGTCACCGTGCAGACAGGGATCAGCTAGGAGGTATAATACAGTGTATTTTATTTGATGCACTGAAAAGCCTTCTGCGTCCATTCCTCTCACTCCTGCTCCTGGATAAGTTGATTTAATTAGATTCGTAATAAAATTTATGTTCAGAAGTGACAGACTTGACTCATGGAGAATGCTAGAATTTCATGGGGTTTGCCTTAAGCATAAATGCAAGATTTGAATCTCAGCAGAGGCTGATATGTTAGGGAGAAGGTAAGTGGTGTTCAAATAAGTGGTGTTCAGAAGCAGCAGAAAACATGGGCCTATGGCTCTGTTTCTCCCACCAGCCATCCTCATTCAGTTATGTGTGCTCCAAGTGCCCTGTGCAATGCTTACCCATCACGCTGCCTCCCAGACCTCATCAGTTCTCAGGAGAGCAGCCGTACTTCAGGGGAACTATTTATTTATTCATTTATTTATTGTCTTTTAAAATCATTTTTATCTTAGAGTCTAGCTACAAGTGGAGATAAGCTATAAGACCAAGAGCAGGCAGGTTATACAAATAACGTCTTTTGTAATTTCTGTCACATATGTCTTAACTACAAGATATCAAACACCACAGGTTTCTGCTCGGAAAAGCTGATTTTCATGGATAAGCTGTCCCTTTTTTCCTGTTTGCACTTGTAATGAGAAGGTTCTCAAATGAGATTTTCAGCAGAAAAGTCTCAGTTTTGCCTTCTCTTCTGGCATGATTTGATTTCCTTCTGCTGGGGAAGTGGAAGTTTCTAGGACAGATTTGCACAGATTTCTGGAAGTTAAGACAAGATGCATTCAGGCTTGCCTGACCTGAACTCAGAACTTCTCACTTGTTCTCACCTACTTTCCAGATCTGCTGAATGTAGTGAATTCAGAGCATCTTTTTTTAGGAAAGAGGACATAAGAACAAATCATCTGATATATTCAAGATATATTTCTAAAAACTTCCACATTTGTAGTGCATTTTGGAGCCCCAAATATTTTCAGTGCTTCCATATTTGCGCTTCTTGTTTATCAGGCTCACAAGTAAGAAATGCAGTTGGATGATATATGGTTTAATCTTTTCTCCTGTTACAATGTTTTATCTTCCATCAAGTGTCAGAGGCTACATTTAGCTTAGCAAAATATATTATTCATAAGCAAAGATATACTTAGATGTGCAGTAAACAGAGTGCCAATTAGCACCACAGTTGGTTTACAAAGCATTTTCTTGTTTGTTTGTTTGTTTTCATAAGGTTTTCTGACAGATTTCTAAAGGGCATTATTTCCCCCTACGTATCTTCCACTTTAGTAATGAGATTCAGTGTTTCTTGTGACAGGAACAAAATAGTTGCACAGATCAGGAAACGTAAATACCGTTTCCTCTCCATTACTATTGCCATGATCTCTTATATATGGAAAAAACAATCTCTAATGTTTGAAAACATCAAGCTCTCCAATAGGGAACTTGTCATGAGAGTCTTCTCATCAGAGACTCTAATCATGAGCGAGACAACCCATGAAAGTGCAAAGTGGCTAATGGGTTCATGAGCCATTTACTGTCACTTAAGAGGTTGGATGGCTTAGCCTGTCCAACTCTCTATTTGTACATTCTTGACCCACTGCACAAGAGTGTTTTTTAGCTTATTTTTGCCTACAAGACAAATTTATTTCAGGTGCCCCAACCAGTGACTGACTCGTGTAAGAGTTTAACCACAAACAGCTTCTCTGTTACCTGGCATGTGGTAACCTAACAAATTCTTTCCGTATGATCACAATTCTCAACCTTTGTTGTTTCTTTTTTGGTGACCTGTTATTTCTTACGCCTCCTTCATACATCATATTTCTCATCATCACATTATTTACTTAACACCCTGGCCAGTGTTTCACATTGCTAGATTTTCAGTTTGGCAGCACTTGTGTTCATTCATTCCCAAACTACACAAGATATTAAGGAAATCAAAACTGCAGTGAGTTTGTAGTTGTGGGATATAATGTTCTGTTACAGAGAAGTGTGCCTACATGCCACTAGGGAAAAATGTAAGAACACACACTTCTGGATGGTATTTTTGACATTCTTAAGCATTTTAAAGGGAATCTACTGCTTCTTCTGGCACATAAGTAACAAATGGTACACAACAAGTAGCTGATTCTTCAAACTAAGCTAAACTTACTGCTAGATAGTCTGGTTTATGTTGCCACAGCAAATTACAGGATGTCGGTAACCCTTATGTTCCCATCCTCATGCTGAGTAAGCCAGAAGGAATTTATGTTAGAATTTACGAGCTGAAAAATAATCCAGTAGAGAATGTGAGAGGATGTTTTCTCTTCTTTATTGACAGAATTTTGTTAAATAGAAAACACAACTTTAAAAACTAGATAAAAATCTTCATCTTGTGCAGTGCAGGAGGATATCGACTGCTGCTCCTAGGCAAATGCTGCTCTAGCTTGAAAAGGATCAAAAAGTTTATTGGTTCAGCACTGAGAAAGAAAGGGATGACTTACAAACACTGTGTGTGTGCATCCCACTTACTTATTCCCAATATAAGTTAGTGAAATGATGAAATGTGCCCTTTGTGGCTCGTAAGTATAGTGCATGTGGAATCCAGTAGGCAATGTGAAACGTTCTTTGAAAAATATTTGCCAGAAACTGTTAGCTGTAAGTGCCCTGCAGTCGTCTTGCTTCTTCCAAACGCATTTAGGAACATGATGCAAAATCCATTGAAATCCACAGTACAATAGTCACCAGTTTAAGTTAATTACACCTGAAAAACTGTTATGCACAAAATAATGGAATCAGCATTTGCCGAAATGAAAACTTCATGTAACTGCTTTTTTCTATTTTTTGTCCCTCAAAAATCAGGATTGGAAAATATTTTCATTGTATTTTCTTTATATGTATCCCCAGTGGAAAGACTTGAGAGTGTCTACCTGTAAAGAACAAGGGCTTAATGTGCCGATAATGGATAACAAAATGTAAAGGCATCTATTTTCCTCCTATGGATTTTTGTTACATTTATGTATTACTAACTTGTCCTGCGAGTTCCGCTTCCCACACAGGTATTGTTCTGCAACTTTGCAGCTTGTGCTGTTTCCTTATATGAAGGATGCTTCGATAATGATGCCTCCTATTTCATTATGTTGGCCCGTGATGCCAGAGGCGGGCGGTGGCACGGCAGTAGAGGTTGAACCTTTCCAACAGTGTTCTGTTACGTGTTGTTGCCATCTGACAGATGGCAGCAGAGGGGCAGTCTGGCAGAATGGCACCTGACGTGGAAGTGCATGAAAAATTGTCACCCATTTACAATCACTGATGCTTGCTGAATGTGTATGGAGACCAAACAGTCTCCATACAGGATGGGAGAACAATGAGATGGTGGGTGGTGAATTTCAGAAGGGGCAACAGTGATACTGGGTCACCTCTGCTGGTGCAGATGTTTACAAGCATGGCACGCAGGCTCTTGTTCATGGCAGGAGAAAATGCACAGCTAATTGGTGGTAATGATGTTGAAAAAGAGTGTTTTGTAGCTGAGAGTTTGCTCTGTAAAATGATATTATGGTGCTCTTTGTATCTGTTGTAGCGTCCATGGAAATAAATAGGAGGCTTTTCTGTTGGGGCAACATAGGTACAGTACAGTTAGTCTTCTCGTCTTGAATCTAGTTTGACACATTTCTGTTTTGACAGGCAGAAATGATAAGAGAATTAAATATTTTTATGTTTTCTTATTTGCAGTTTCTTTGTCAGTACCAGAAATGGTACAATTGACTGCGCAAAGCTACAGAAGGTAGGTGTCAGACACTGCAGATATCTAAGGGTTTTTTTCCCCCCTTACTTTCCATTTTGATAAAAGGAGAAATTTTAGTTAAGATTGTTTTGTTCTTCATTTTTCCCCTCTCAAATTGGTAGCAACAGTATTAGTTCAGAAACCTTACATATTGCTTGTGGCCTGTTTAAGACTTGAGCTGAGGGACAACTTGCAATGAGAAAAATGAACATTTGTTACTTATCCTAATAGATACATGTAGGTAAAATTAAGCTTGAGTCTAGCAAAAGTGTGTTATCATTCCTATTAAGAAAGATTGTTATGCCTTTGCAGTGAGCAGGCTCTAAAAAACAGATATTTCTCTGCAGACTACTGGCTACAAACACGATGAGAAGCTGAGTGAAGCATTGTTCTCAGATGCCACTCCTACTGCTGCAGCTCATTGTCTCTCCAAAACTTTGTTCAGAGCAATTACATCTTTTTAAAGTAGGTGGCTAAAGAAACCGTGCTCCTGAAAGGTTCCCGAAAGATTCACCATCTGTCAAAAGTGAGCCATTCTGCCACCTTTATAATTAGCATTTACTGGTACCTCACACCTACATTCTCACACCTACTGTAACATACTGTTCTTGAGAACAAGCGTATTGCCACGCTCTCATGACGACTCTAAGGCACTGCTATTATGTATCATTATAAACGAAGACAAAATGCAAATGTTTACTCTAGGAAAAAATCATAATGATATCCCAGAGGAGCACATGAGTAAACGCATTTCCTTGTTGTTTTTTTCCAACCAGATCCTTGCAAGAATTTTCTGAAAGCCTGGTTATGTCAAGATGCAACAGCCTCAGATGTTCCCACTCTCACACTGGTGGACCACAGAGGTTAGTCACTTCCATATGTTTCTGGCTGGGAATGCATGGAATTCACCCATTTAGGGATCAACAAATAGGGTTACAATTTTTTGGAACATGCAGTTCCAAGTTCTAGCTCATTGAAATCATCTTATTTACTTTAAAGTGGTCAAAGTGCCCTCTTTAATAACTGGTGTCTGCTCTCAAATGCATTTGTAGTAGAAAAACAAATAAACACAAAAACCTGCCTCAAAGTTCATTGTTCTTTGAATTCCTTGCTTGATAAAAGACTTCAAGATCTTATGGCAGCTGCAATATCTTACCTGTATCACGTCTTGAACAAAGTGAGCCTGCCATAAACATACAGCTTTTATTAATGTTTCTCTTGCTAAGCTCTCTAGATACCATGCCACTAGGTATCTCTGGGGGAAGAAACCATTGCTAATCTCTTAGCATTGTGTCTGACAATAACCAAGTTTTGTTTAAGTCTCTGCAAGAGTAGAGAACAGAAGAGAATTACTTAACGCAAAAAAAATAATAATAAGTATTGCAAGAGAAAAGTGGTACCAAGATGATGGTGTAAATTATCCTGATGTTTCCCCCACAGCATCACTGAATGGCTGTCACTGTGTGAAAAGGATCCAGTGGAGATTCTCCTTGATTTGGGGTTTGGTACAGAGGAACCCGATGTCTGCACTAAAATCCCTTCGAGGTTCCTCAGTGGTTCTTCTGTGGCAAAAGGTATTGACATCCGAGTCTTTTTGGAAGCTCAAAAGCAGCGGATGGACATTGAGCTGCCAAACCTGTATGGTAAGTGGAGAAGGAATTTTAGCCAGGAATTTATTTTACTTCTTTAGAAGAAGTAAAATAAATAGCATGGGGACTGAGCGGGTGGAGAAGAGGCTTATGAGAGAAAGTATAGAAAAAGGGACATGTATTTAGTTGATATCGAGAATTCTCATTCCCTTTTCCCTTTTGTGGGAGCAGGACCCCTTTCACAGGGAAATGTACAGAGCAGCTGACAAGATCCCAGCCTCCCATCAGTAGGGCTGCTAGGGCTCATGCATCAGACCCACAAATCTCTAGCTATAACCTAACAGTTTGGCTGTTCAAATATGCCCTAATATGGATGAGAATCTTATTTTAAGCGCAATAAGATTGCACCATTTAAAGCAGACAGGCTTGATTTTTATTTGCTGTAGATGGTCCTAGTTCCATTTTATGTATTTAGCAGTTAAGAAATGAATACAAGGTCCTCACCCTGAAGTTATATCAGCATTAAAATAGCATTGTTAATTCTCTGCTATATCGCCCATCTGAAAAGTCCAATTTTGACATCATTTCCCCTCATGTTTGCTGCACAGGATAACCAGATGGCTCTTGAAATCTTCTGTTTATTTAAGATGCTCAAGGAAGCAGGATCTCTCATATAGTCCATGCATTCCTGTTTAGAATTAAGCTGAAGAAGTGGTATGGATGGAATAAGAATTGAAAAAGAAATGTCAGAGCATCATGGAAAATGTGTTTTTCCCTCTTTCTCTCTCTTTTTATAGCAAGGCCTGTGCACACATTTCAATATTTACAGCAAACTGACACATCAAACAGGTTTCTCAGCTCTCACTCTTTCTTTCTGTAACTCCTGAGAGGAAAAAGAGAGGAAAGAGAGAGAATCTGTGTGAGTAGATGGAGGATAGAGACCTCAAGGAAGAATCATAGAATGGCTTAGATTGGAAAGGACCTTAAAGATCATTTTAGTTTCAACAGCCTTATCATGAGCAGGCTTGCCACCCACCATCTGAGATTGCCCAGGATCCCATCCAGCCTGGCCTTGAACACCTCTAGGGATGGGGCATCCACAGCCTCTCTGGGCAGCATGTCCTAGGACCTCACCACCCTGTGAGTAAAAAATTTCTTTCTAACATCTAACCTAAATCTCCCCTCTTTCAGTTTAATGCCATTCCCCCTTGTGGTATTGCTATCGGACTGTGTTAAAGGTCAGTCTTGCTTTATACACTCCCTTCCAAGTACTGAAAGACCACGATGAAGTCTCCCCAGAGCCTTCTCTCCTCCAAGCTAAACAAGCACAACTGTAGTACTGCAGATGGGGCCTCAGAAGGGCACAATTAGCTCCCTCTCCCTGCTGACCACCTCTCTTTTGATGCAGCCCAGGATACATTTGGCCTTCCAGGCTGCAAGTGCACACTGCTGCCATCAGGACTCACAAGTCTTCTGTAAAGCAACTCTCCATGAGTTCTTCTCTCAGTCTATACTTGTATCTGGGTTTGCCTTGACTCAGGTGCAACACCTTGCACTTGGCCTTGTTAAACCTCACTACATTTTTGTGTGCCCACTTTCTGAGTATGTCCGGGTCTCTCTGGATGGCATCCCTTCCTTCTATTGTGCCAAGAAGGCAGAGAGCTCAGAGTGAATGAGAGGAAGGAGCTTCTAGGGAAGGAGTTTGCCCAGCTAACGTAAGCAGTGATAAGCCAAGGCGCGAATTAAGGACCAGACTTTGCAGTAGTCCTTGATGGGAGCACTCTTAGAGCAGGTTAATGGCTGCACTGTATGGGAGAGCTGCTGTCAAGTTAGCTAAGGTCTCAATTTCTATTTTGATGGGTGTGATGTCCATCAAAACGTATTTTCTTGCTTTTGACAGGTTGGGAGGGGATTTTCACACCATCTGTGTAGGCTTCCTAAGTATGTGCCTGGGCATTTAAGCAAGTGAGGTGACATCCATCCTTCAGAGATTCATACTTCTCTCTTCACGGACTCTACGTGTTTCATTATATGTGGTGATTAACCTCATAACCTCTGCACCAAGTTATAGGCATTTATCTGAAGCACCATCTCAAGGATCTTAATCACAACAGAGTCTATTTTCATAGTGAATGGAGAGTCAGGCACCTCCCATGGGTCATAATTGAGCCGCAGTTTCAAACACCTATCAGAAGTCAGTTGGTCTATGGGACCAAATAAGCAATCTAGCACATGCACCTTCCTATAACTGAGATTCCAAGAGAATATTTACTGCTAAAAGGATGAATCAGTTTTAGTGTGCAAAATTATGAGGGATATCATCAAACAGGCTTTCAAGACATTTGCTTGCAAACTCTATTTTCTAATCTTGCCATCCTTTCCTTGCCTAATAATTTTGTAGTGAAGTACAGCAAGAAGGAGAAATGGAAAACTCATGTTTAACAGATCTGGAAAATTGATTATTTCTAGAATCTAGTCTACCTGCCTTCAGCAGTAAGACTGCACCTAAATTTGCAAGCATTTAGTGATCCAGCTCTTCTTTTGGAAGAAAGCTTCCTGAAGATGATAGAGAAAAAGATTCTTCCCTGTAAATTAAGTAGATAGTTCAGGTCTAGAGATGCTTCAAGGTGTTTACCTTTCCATGAACCTTGTAGGGTACCCCAGCTGCTTTACTGTCACAGGACCATTTCATATTGAGATAAAAGTACCAAAATGATGCAGACTGCATGCTGCCTTTAGAGACTTCAAGCCCATATTAAGCCACTGTTCCTAAAGACATATAAGATGTGCTGGATGAATTCAGATATTGTCACCCAGTTTGGTTTGTTGTCACTAAATTGCTCTCGTTTGTCTCTATACACCAAAAAAGAAAAGTGTTTAATCTGAATTAGTGAATGACTGAGAAATGCTGTCAGTTTACTTACTCCTGAAATAGCAGAGAAAATTAATTGATTTAGTATGATGTGTTAGTCCAAGAAAGTGGAAGATGAGGAAAAGGATTATAGGAACTGTATGAGTGAAGGAGGGAAAAAAAGGGAGAGTGAGGTAAGAAAAACCAGTGACTTCCATACCAGAGTGATCTTTCTCCACTTCCCTATTTCTTTCATTTCCTAATGCAATCCTCTTCTTTCTGTTTGGTTCTTCCCTTACTGTGATGCAGATAGTTTTCTAGAGCTGCTCCATTGCTGATTTGGCTTTTTAAAATACATGTGTGTTGTTACAGAATTGTTTGTTAATTGTCTCCTTGCTTGGTGCTGATCCTTAAGCACTGTCAGGGAGTTTTTAAAGGGTCCACTTCACAAGAATAAGCTGCATTTTCAACAATGTCATTCATCAGTAAGTTATCTCAGGTCTGAAAGAACTTATCCCCATCATTCACTGATGGTGAAAATTTTACTGTCATCGTTAGAAGAGACATTTTATTACCTAACTGGTGAAATAAAGTTAATTGAGAATCAAGTTAAGTTTAAAAAAAAACAAAAAAAAAAAACAAAAAAAAAAAAACAAAAGCAGATATTTTTGAGTATATAGATCCAGAAACTCTTTGAAAAGCTTTCAAGCTACAGCAGGGGAGATTCAGGCTGGACATGAGGAAGTGTTACTTTTCAGAAAGGGTGGTCAGGCACTGCAATGGATGCCCAGGGAGGTGGTGGAGTCACCGAGCCTGGGGGTGTTCAAGGAAAGGCTGGATGTTGTGTTGAGGGACATGGTTTAGTAGGAGCTATTGGGAATAGGTGAACGGTTGGACTGGGTGATCTTGTAGGTCTTTTCCAACCTTGGTGATTCTATGATTCTATGAAAACTTCAGGTCTGTGGGCATTCTAGTTCAAAAATGTTTACGTGTTTCAATCTGACAACTAAAATAAAGTAAACCCCGCTCATTTTAGTATAACTTTTCCTTACTGCTGTATCTAAATTTACTCAGGGTATTCTGTCTTGTTTCTGGGGATTTTTCACCCATTTCGTTGAATCTCAGAATGTTTTGGGAGGGACCTTAAAGACCATCCTCTGCCTGATGAAGGCAGAGATGCCACCCACTAGCTCAGACTTTCCAGGGTTCCATCCAACCTGGCCTTGATGTGATGGGGCACCACAGCTTCCCTAGCCAGGGCCTCACCACCATTATAGTGAAGTTAAGCTGGTAAGGAGAGGTGCACATCATTGGAGATAGATATTAGCCAGTAAAAGCATCCCTAGAGAAGAAATGTAATACAAATTGCTAAATACATTCTCTGAGCTACTGCTTCAGTTCTAGCAACGACAGTATTGCCAAGGCTGAAGAAGAAGCAACCTAAAGTAGGAAAACACTTTAACATATGACAAAATGGAAAATGCGGAGATTTCCTTTTATTTTTTTCAGGAGAAGAACATCAGTTTCAGGTAAATCTTTTTTTTCCTTCTTCTTCTGACTGAACATTTTGATTTTTCCAAATTCTGCATTTGCTATGGGGAAAAAAAAAAAAAAAAAGTTGACTGAAAGTTCTCGATGACTCTGGAAACATCTGTGTTCCTTCATTCCTCTTTGAGCCTGTTGAAGACTTTGCAGATCTTTTGTGCAGATAACTGTGTTGGCCTGTGTAGTACCAGATTTTAGGAAGTAGTAACAAAACTGTGAATGTTTCCTCCTGAATTCTAAAATGGTAAATCATAGTAAAGTCATTAGAAGTTCTATGAAAAGTATAGATTCTGTTGAAGATTTATTGATCTTATTTACAGCAAGGCCATTTGCTGATGCATCTGAACTTTCTAGTGAAAATGATTCTGCAGTTATGTCCTTCAGGATCTCACCTGTGGTACAGATTTAGACTATTTTGAAGCAGGCTTCAGAGACCAAGGAGTTTGTATCAGACTCTTGCCTATTTGAGACACGCTCTTTGGGGAGCATCCCTAGAAACCAAAGCAACATCTTGCCTGGAAAGAAAAAGTCCAGAAAAAGAGGCTGTCCTTGACATAATTTCTTCATGACATTTGCACATGAACAAGATGACTTTTTTGTCCATGTGTCATTTCTTGGTCGTTTGATTTGTAACTTCAGATTTCACAAACTCTTTGATATAGTTCACCAAAGTTAAGCAGTGTGTAAAAATGTGAAAACTATTTCAAACTGCAGCAGTTTTGGTTCTGGTTCAAATCAGAATGTCTGGACTGCTCTGCCTCTGTCAGTCAAAGGAAATTAGCAGTTGTGATTTTTAGGGCCTCCTGATGTAGTAGGAGCCAGATAAAATACTGAGGCTGAAACAGCTTTACATGGAGAGCATGTTATAGCACAGTGGATGCACAAAATGATTTACCCCGATGTCCCAAACTTAGGCACATGGAAAATACCCAACACATTATCCAACACTCCGTGCTCATAGGTCAAATAACACCTTTAAGCAAAACCTTTTAACCATGTCTTAAAAAGTGGCAGCAGTGGCAGCATCTTCCTCTGGATTTGAAAACCAGGTGGTATCTGGGGAATTTTAAAAAAGGCTATTCTTGAGATATTGCAACAGTAAGGAATTGCAGACTGTGATATTGATCCTTGATGCAAAAGGCTGACTCAGATCTGTGCTAAGTACCCCCTTGTTTAATTATTGGTGAAGCAGCATTACCAACAGCCTGCATGCAGTAAATCTGGCTGCTCTCTAACAGAAATGGCAGCCAAGTATGTGAGCGTTTTGCCATCTACTGTCCTCAATGAATCTCTCAAGGAAGGAGAAGTCCTGGTGACATATTCATTGCCTCGGGATGGAGGCAGACACAATACTCAAACAAATGTGTTGCATTTCCTTGTATAAATAAACTTGATAGTGTTGCAGAGAAGGAATTCTCCAGGGTCTCTTAGGGAAGACACAGTTCATTTCTTTTTTTATGTTACTCTATGGAAAAAAATGGCAAAAATTACAAAAGCTTGATGCAATTGTTTTTTTTTTTTTTTAAAGGTCACCTATATACAATGTCAGCTATGAGTTTCTGGGAGATAAGTATGTTGTGATGCTCTGAAAATGAGGGCATAGCATGTATGGTCGATTTTTATCGATACGTATTTATCAGTACGTATGCATTTTGCAGCTATCCTGGACAACAGCCAGCAGAAAATGTTTATGATCAGATTTTATAATAACCTGATTCTCGTGGATTTTAATTAGTCCTCAGATATGGCATCCAAGTCTGGTCCAGCCAGCTGGAGAACTTCAGGCTGGATTCTGTAACTTTTATTCATGCAGGGCAGCATTCAGATGTACTTGTCCCAGTGAACTCAACACTGTGTGTTTGGCTGACACAAAGAACTGTGCAGCAGTTCTCTTAGTTCAGACCTATATGGTCCGAACAGAAGCAGATAGAAAAATTCAGCCAATTTTTAATCAGATACTTAGTATGTTTCTTAGCAGTGACAAGTTTGAATAATCATTGGTGCCAATTATTTGTTTTGTTTTTGTTTTTATAACTGTGTTGCCCTCCATTATGACAAACTTAAGGACGTTTTCGACAACTGGAAGTACTTGACCACATCACCAGTGCCCTCTCATCTTTGCTGACTGATGTGAACACCCAGCAGACCAAAGCACAGGAAGCTGGTGGGAATGTGACCGGTCATTTGAATGCTGTGAAGAGCAGATCTGTGGTCACACAGGTGAAGAGGAGAAGAATAGGTCAGCTCCTGAGAAGGGCTTCTAGGCAGACAGCACTACTGAACTTGGGCTCGCTGGCACCTGAGGAAGTCAGCATGCCAGGCACAGAAGATCAGCCTCACCTTTGTGTGGATATTGCTGAGAAGGAACCAATCCAGGCAGGATTTTCTGCACATGTTACCTTGCGCTGTCTGTCCCAGGAGCAAACCTGTAGAGACAAAAGTTCCTCAGCTTATCCCATATCCCAGTGCCCGCCAGCTCTGCCAGGGAAAACCTGTGCTTCATCGTGTTTAGTGACAAAACAGCTCCACCTTTCTTCTCCACGTGAGGCACCTGCCAAAGATGGGCCAAGAAAAGAGCCCCATTTGCTTTTGGCCCAGATGCTCAAAAAATTGGCAGGTCCAAACTGCAGGCTTCCAGATTCATTTGAAATGGAAGAGGTGAGGTGGATTTTTGTATATTGCTTGCTGGCACTTTCTCCCTACCTGTATTTATTGTATAGGTTTGCACTGTCTTTTTCAGGATGGAAGCTAGAGTAAATGACTTCAAACACCATGCTGCAGCATTATGGGGAAAAACAGTGGGATTTACTCTTCTCATTGGGGTTTTGATTATTTTGAATTGTCATTGTGTTGGGAGACTGTCAAGGAAGTTGGCACTGAAGTTACTAAGGTAGGATTCATTCAACCAGTATGATAGTGTAAGATGCCAATATGTTTTATGCAGTGCCAGGTTGCTGGAGTTTTTTTTTTTACAGAAGGAAGTTGCAGGAACACTAATACAGATGGTAAGGGTTATTTTTACAGATCCAATCATTAACCAGTTCGTTGGATTGGTGGTTTTTCTTTTTTATTTCTTTCCCCTGTGCTCATGTTCTGGTGTGCTTTTTCGGAAAGTTTCATCACAAAATTATCCTTGGTTTTATAGCAGTGTCTGAAATATTTTATCACTCTGTAAGCTGAGCATCCTAAAAACAGAATAAATCAGAACAGCAGCTTGTTCTCATATCTGCTGTCAGCAAAGTCCACGGTACTCAGCTATCTATGCGTTTTAGCAACAGTGGGTTGTCAGCAGGGTTCAACATGAAGTAGCAGAGACCAGGATACTTGCCAGTCCCCTAATTACATCTAGATTTGTGTCAGCAGCAGTTTTTCTCTCCACGCTACTGCAGAAAAAGGACTACAGTATGATTACCTCCAGTCATACAGAGTGGGTCTGACAGGAACGCTCTTGCCCATCCATCCACCCGGCCATTCTCTCCAGCCATCCTTCATGATTGAGGAGAAGGAAGGAGTCTTACAGTCCTTTTGTAGGAAACATAGAAAGTAGGAGAAACGGGGTAGCTGACAACCCTCTGAAAACATAGGGAACTTGGGAGTGAGGAAGGGAGGGAGGGGAGGAAGGAGCAGAAAATCACTGGAGAAGGTGGCCCAGAAGTTTTTCCAGCTTCAAAAACATTGGAACAGATGAAGTTAAGGTAGTGGCATTCTTCTTGAAGAAAGAATGTTTATCTTTTCAAATCTTCACAAAGATATTTTTCCATGAAAGGTTTGGTGCAGCCTTTGTATGGGCAGAGCTGACTCAAGAGTCGGTATCTGGACCTGACTTTCACCCTCAGTGGGAGAGACAGTGTCTTTCAAAGATCTCTGGCACAGCAAATTTATAGTCCCAAAGCAGCCTGTATGTCTTTGCAAAGCACTCAGCATGCTGGACTTGCAGCTCTGTGACTAGAGGTTTACATAGAAAGGAAGAATTGACAGAGCAGTGAATGCACGTAACAGCAAACTCCTCAGTTTGATGTCCTAAGGCAATTATAGGAGAGTAGCATGTTCAAATTCGGCGGTGTGTACCCTGTTTAACTTCTGGATATTCTCTACCACATCATTACATGAAGGCTGTAAGAGCAGTGCACTGGCTGAAAGGATTAGACACTGTTAGTCTGACAGTGGCCATTAACATATGTCTGGAAGAGAGAAAAAGAAACAGTTGTGTAGAGAGCGATCCTTCTCTCCCTGGCCTTTGACAAGGAGGGATTTAGAGATCTCTGAAGCTGCATACTGCATCTGGGATACACCTAGCCTGTATGTGTATGCATTACTTGCATGTAATGGGTCCCTCTTTTCTAGTAAGACTTTCCTTGAAGGAAGATTACGCAGTATCATGTTAAAGTGTTCCTATTCATGCCATGAAAAAGACAAACAGGTTTTCATTCTTAAGAGGAAAAAAATATTCTGACCTTACATCCACTATTTGGCAGGAATTTGCCTCCATATGGCTGTATGTCTTTGGGCTTCTACTAAGTCACAGGTTTTTTTTCAGGGATGTTTCTCTGAGGCTGTTCAAACAAGATTGTTAATGTACTTCCAGGTTGGAATCATTTATCTATTGATAACCTGAGGAACTCTTGGAAGGCTTCACAGACTACTTTATGTCAAGAACAAATATTTTTAAAAAAGAAACAACCCAAAAATGAACCAAGCTGAAAGATTTAATGTTTTCACTTTGAAACATCTAGTTTTTGGGTTTGTTTTTTTTTCCAGCTCCTTTCCTCCCATCTCCACTAATCATTACTATCAATATGAATTTTTCCTCTTCCTTTCCAGATTCAGAGCTTTGAGGATGAAATTCCATGTGGAAATACTCCTGACACCACCTCAAGTGAGTGTTAAGATACTGACATTTTGCCAGATTTTTTTTTAAAGCAGCGTTCCCACATAGTTTCTTCTAAAGCTTCTCCTAATATGTTTTCCCCTCTCTGCTGCCATCACTCCTGGCACTGGATGTGTTACTCTAGATGTAAGTCTAGCATGGCCAAACTAGACTTGATAAATCACAGGCATGTAAAATAGATTCACCTTGTCAGGGAGACACAGCGAGTGCACCCGAAGAAAGTTCCTCACATGCAAAGCCTTGAGGGTCTGGGGCATCCATATACTTTAATCAGACCTCTCTGCACTTACAGGTGACACAAAAGCTTCACTCCAACTCAGGGATTCATTTGTCAGGTCCAAATGACCCCTTACCTGCCAATTCCCAGATCTAGGATCAAACATGAAGTTGGAGTTGGAGCAGCTCTGCAACCACTCCATATGCAACTCAACCAGGACTACACAGCCATGACATTCTGGTGGCAGCATGGCCTCTGCTCCATCATCAGTCCCCTACATCACATGCGCTGTCATCACATGAGCAGACATAGCACTGAATTGTGATAGAAAACAATTGTTTGAGGAGTGTGTGAAAGGATTAAACACGAAGCTGTTACACCAGATGTTACGTTGCCATTGGAGGCTATCTCAGCTTGGGTCCTGGGAAGCATTTGCTGGCAGGGGTGGTGGTACTTGGGAAGGTGGCTGTTCAGTCTCCAGAATATGGAGTGTTCGGCTTTGCTCTCTAGAAAACTTTGCTAAATTGATGCTCAGAGTAGGACTGACAGGTATTTTTTTCTTTTTTTCTTTTTTTAAAGGGACTGAAATTGTGTATGAAAGAACTAATAAGTAGTGTGAATGAAGCAGCAAAGGAAAAAAACGTGAAAGTTTGATGAGCCCTTGACTTTTGAGGACTAAATTATATCAATTTTGGGGAGCTGGCACAAATAATTAAGCCACTAGAGTGCATAAATACGTATCTTAAAAAAAAACAACTCAGCTATCTATTGGTGCCAATCATTTAATTATGTCACTGATGGGAGCAACAGTTGTATGTACAGGAGTGAAGTCATGAGCCTTTTGAAGGCAGTGGTCAAAGTCCCACTGACTTCAGTTAAGCCACAGATTTCATCAGAGTGCGTAGAGTTTTCTTGGTCAATGCAGGAGCTGAATAACTGTAATTGAGTACCTCATGAATTCTTTGGATCTGGAGGGTTTCTTTTTGTTTTCAAGTTTTGTTTTGGGGGTAGGTTTTTGTGTTTTTTTCTTCTCTGTGTGTGTTTGTATGTATTTTGTAATAGATGCTGTACCTATGGCAGCCAATTCCTCTTGCCACATCTTCTGGTAAGGTTGTATTTTTTCATTCTGTAACTGCTTGTCTCCAATGATATCTGTGGCCTCATGTCATCTTTGAGGCTGTGCAGGCTGTGTAATTTGTCACCTGACTTACATTAAGTCGCTTTGATTTTGCTTTCTGATGAATGTCTTGATCTTTACAAACAAAGATGAGCCCCATACCAATAGTCTTGCTCGTAGCAGTATTTGTACAAAGAATAGCAATTCCCCAGGACTTGTGCAGTCAAAACCACCATTTGGACAAACGTTCAGTGAGAAATGAACAAAAGAGAATGTGGACATAGCTTGCTGAGAAGATATTTAAAAAGTGATATCGTACTCCAGAAAGTTTTTTTCCTTTCTTTGCCCAGCTATAAATTGTGGCTACACTATTTAATGATAGAGGCATTAGTTAAAGGCATTTGAAGATTATAGAAGTATACTGATCATGATGTAAGAAAATAATCAACTGTATACCCTGCATAATCTTTTAAGACAGGAATAAGCATGTATGAGGGCTGGTCCAGAAATAATGCCTCTTATTTTACTGTATTGGCACACGACACCCATAGTGGATGTTGCTGGAATGGCAGCAGGGGGTGAAACTTCCAACACAGTCCCATTACATGTTGTTGCCATGTGACAGATGGCAGCAGAGGGGCAGTATGGCAGAATGGTGCCTGACATGGAAGTGTGGATGAGGCAAAGGTGTGTCATTGAACTCCTCCATTGCAAAAAATTGTCACTCACTGACAGTCATCAATGCTTGCTGAACATTTACAGGGACCAAACAGTAGATGTGATCTCAGTGAGGCAGCGTTTCAGCAGTAGTGACAGTGACCATGGGTAATCCTGGCTGATGTAGCTTGTTACAAGCACAGCATGCAGGCTGTTCATGGCTGGAGGAAATATATATAGTATATGGCTAATGGTGGGGACTGTATTGAAAAAGAACATTCTGTAGCTGAGAATGTGCTCTATCAAATGGTGTTATTGTGCTCTTTGTATCTGTTATGGCGTCCACGGAAATAAATAGAGGCATTACTTTTGGAGCAACCTGAGCATTTGGTAAAAATTTCATAACAGAGAAAGAGGAAAGTCATTATTTCTTTTTAGCTCTGATATGACTTCTATCCAATTAAGTGATCAATTTATAATACAATTGAACCGCACTTAAGATTTCTGCCTTCTCAGCAACACGTTTTAGAGTTTAGAGGAGAGGAATCTTGTCCTTCTTCCTTTCTCTGCTGTTTTAGAGTTGTTGATGCTTGGCCTAAATTTAAAGTCTCTTTTATGGGCTTTATTCGTGTTCTCTGCCTTTTTCCCACTGCTTCTAAATGACGTGCCCCTCCATACCCATGGGATTCTTGTTACTACTTCCATTTGCTTTGTATCATGGCAGCAGTCGAAACTCAGCGATTATGAATGCACTGTCGTTAGCAGTGAATAACACTAGCTCTTACAAGGATTCCTGCTCAATTGGCAGAATTTGTCTCAGACCCATAAGCAGGGACCCTCGAAATAGGAGCCAGTGGGAAATGTGCTCCAGGTTCCATCAGGAGCCTACGCAGGGAAAACCTCAGCTCCCAGGGGAACACGCCTGAAATTAGATTTAGACTGCAAATCGTTCGGGATACAGGCTGCCTGTTTTTCAAGGCAGTTCCAGTGCAGTGCCTGATGGCGTTGAGGACCCACTCTCATTTGTTTGCGGGCTCTGTGAGAAGGGGTATGAGAGCAGTGATGAATGTGCTGGAGCCTGGCATGACCCTGCTGAAATGGGATCTTACCTGAGCGGAGAAGCATGAGGTGCCCACCGTGAGAAGAAATAGAGATAGATAGGAACAGACTGCTTTGCCTAGATGGAGCATATTAGAGACGGGTGACTTATGGAAGTGCTTGTCCCTGTGGTATTGTCCCTTGGCTCTGTAGCCTGGCCTCAATTTTAGTCCAATTGCTTAATTTTCTACACTCCCCATGAAAGCCAATTCCCTGGCTGCTGTGTGTCTTCTTTATATTTCCCCATAATGTAGATTCTGGCTGTTTAACTGCAGTAGGCTTTATGATAAGGCTTTTTTTCCCTCTCTCTTGGCAGAACGCTGAGACTTAATTTTAAAAGACGCTGAAACCCCCAAACATCCCCAAATGACTTACAGGGAAAGCAGAGTGTTTTCTAGCTCTGTTTTAAAAAATATTACAATCTTTTTTATTAGGCAATTTTATCATTGTTATAAATAAGTAATTGTACTGGGGAGAAGGGATAATCCTTATTTAATTAAATTCATCTATACTCCCAGGTTGGCAGCAACCAGACATATGTGAGACTAATACCCACAGCCTGCCTGTATGCATGTGCAATTAAAAATTCACTCTACAGTAGCACTGGCAGTTTAGTGTTGCTTTTGGCATTTACAAATTCTTTTATTTTGTGACTTTTTTTTTACCATACACATATGCTGGAGCAGATGTTGCTTATTTGTTGTTTATTCAAATCTGTAGGCTCTGGCAGCTAACTCCATTGTTCTGTAATGAAGCTTTATTCACTGTCCTGTATTAGGACCCAGCAAATGCATGACAGGCAGAGTTAGCTCTCAGCAGGAACTACAGTTATTGTCCTTACTTATTGGCTGTTTATATTCTAAAGCTCACAGTTGAGAAAGCTGGCTGGGCAGGGTAAGGGGCTGGGGGTGCTGTGTGCAGAGGAAAATTACTTGACTCCACTCACTGTATCTTTGCCCTGATGAGGTGCAGACTTGCATGTAAACTCATCTGTTGCAGGGATTTCATATTCAGCACTTGAAAAATAGAGCTGTTCTCCCCCTCTGCCCCCTCTTCTGCCTTGTTCCACCCCCACCCCTGCTGCTCCTTCCTTTTTCAATTAGCCTTTGTAAAGCACTGGGTTTAACTAAAGGATGTTCCAGCGTTGTTCATCCCCTTAACTCAGCACGTGCCTGGAAATTCATTAGCAGCCACATCTATTAGGGAGTCAGTGTTAGCTGGGTGCACCTTGTAGACTCCCTTTCTCTCTCTTGCTGCTTCTTTGCTTCCCTCTACCTCAGCGGGGCAGAGACGTACCCGAGAAGCAGGAATTCCTGCATGGCGCTGACCCGGGCATCGAGTGCCAGCAGAAAGGAATTAGCCTGCTGGAAAAGCCCGTGGTAGCCCAGGAGGCAATCAATCAGGAAAGTAACCACCTCCATCTGGCTCCCTGTGACATGGTAGCTCACTACCGAAGCGTTTGTGATTCATCTTGTCCCAATGAGTGGTGCCAGGGATCCCGTACACCCATTTTTTGCAGCAGCTGGGAACGTTCTAGCTTCCTTGCATGCTGAGCTAAAGCGTTAGCTCCTGTGACTTATCAAGTGGCAATTCTTTCAATTATCACACCTTCACTCCTCCCACTCACAGGCTTCTCTTATGGTTTGGCACCATGGGAATATTCACAGAATGCAATTGGCATTTCTTTTAATTGACTGAGTGCCAAGAATGTGAATCCTCTTTGTTATCTATTATCCATTGTAATGTCTGCCTGCGACTGAAGTAGCAACCTCTTCAAAAGGGCAGGAGGAAAAGGCACAAATATTTCCTATGCTTCCGAGCGTATAGGATTTTTCTAGGTGCCTTTATTTTCAGTGTAAGGAAGACTTATTTAGTGTTTCTTATTTACTGCACTACCTG